CCAGACAGTCCAGCATGCAGTGATCCCAGCTTTCTAATTAGTCTTCCATTAACTTTTTCAACCTTGATGACTGCGGGGTGCGCTCTCAACACGTACAGTAGCAGCCGCACATGTGCACCCACACACCTTTGCAGTCCTGCCTTTCTTCAAACAGGATACCAGTTAGATGTTAGTTTTCATTTAAAATCTTATTCACACTTATTATTGAGGGCATGTCCATACACGGCTGAAATAAGAGCCCCGAGCTGGTGTTTTTGGGGAAGTGACCTACATTTGAATGAAAGTACAGATTCATTATTTTGTGGCCAATGTGAACAGTGTGGTCCTTTTGTATGTGGTATAATACGTAGTGAAGAATACAATTAAAGTTAGAGGCTCATTTTCACTTCACTTTCACTAAATAAGGCACAGTATAATCATGTAACAGGCTTATAAGGTCAGATTTATGTAGTGCGGTTGCATCTCCAAAGGGCACTCTAAACACTTTACACACCACACAACACTAGTAAAGTGTCTTGCCTAAGGACATAACAACAGAATGCACTAGCAGGAGTAGAGATTGTTTCAAACCCATACTATTTAATACATTAAAAATTTTCAGTTGCAAGAGTTTTACTGCTAAAAAAGAAAGTATTGAAAAACAGGCATTCTTCGCCTTTCCACAGATCCGACCTGTAATTTGGCCTGTAATTTTGGAGTGTGGTAAGTTTAATGCCACAGTGTGTAACATTCCATACAAAACAATAACATCTCCATTAGAGTGTGGATCGGGACACATTTTTCTGTCCATGCTCAGCTCGCGTCCAAGTGCAGTGATCGAATCTGACCCGAACTCGATAGGCATTAAGATATCTGTGTCCGAACCCGACCAAACCCGACACAATTAAAATCACACTATTTTCATAGGCCTACTAATGACACATGTAGGATATTGTTTGTGTTTGTGGCCTTTAACGGACACAGAGGCGAAAAATACATAGCGAAACTAATGAGAAGACTTCATTACTCACCTCTCTTAAAGATGTAAATTTAAAGTGCAGCATCTCATCCACATTATCCATAGAAATTGTTTTCCGGAAATAATGACATCAAGTCCACAAAACCCAATCCAGTTTGAGGCATTCTTTGAAAGTAAAAAGGCAAAAGTACTTCCTTGTGTGTCTGTTTATGTCTACTCAGCGCACGGATTGAAGTGAAGCTGTGGATTAGCGATAGTGACTCTACTTCCTGTGGACTTTATTGCCAATCTGTTATGCTTTAAAAATCATGTATCTGAAGTATTGCACCACATTTCAGAAATAATAATAACACAGCTTGTATCTAAACTAGAAGTGCAGTGCTCTGATATTTTGAACACTTAAGAGTCTCAAAGTGAGTGGTTTTACTGTAGACAGGAAACAACAATCTCAGTGGAGGTAAGCTGGTAGCATATTTTCCGCAAGAAAAGTTTCAAAATGCACCTGTAACCATCTTCTTTTGTGTAAAAAAAAAGAAACCAAAAAAAAAAAAAAACATCATATCTTTTGCTGAAGTTAGCCTGCACTATACATGTGTATCAGCACGGAGGAAGCAATGACTATTTTACGAGTATTATTCTGTCATTTTTTTCTTTACTAAACAAAGCGTCACCGTGGTTGTGTTGTGGTGGTGTTTTATTCAACTCTTTGTATACAGAGAGAATGTCAATACTCGCCTTTGGTATTTCAGGTTTTGTTTGGCTTGGCGCTGTAGCTCACGACTGTCAGAGGCCATACCAGGGCTTTCTGATCTGCCAAATAAAAGCAGAGCTGAGCCGCGCTGCAGAATATGAATGAAGGGAAGAGATTGACAGAGACTGAAAGATAGAGCTGGAGATGGGTTACACCACTGCTATACCTTTTCCTGTTTGGTTTAGTTCATCCTCTGTGTGTAGTAATCTTTTTCTTTCTTTCTTTCTTTTTTTCCCCATGTTGTCAAAAATCAGTTCTCAAATACAAAATACTACCAAAACTAGATAATTATTTGAAAATTTCTCTAAAAAATATGTCTGTTTTCTTTTAGTGGTGGGTATTGAGTTGTGCATTTTCTCAATATTGAAATAAAGTTTGAAATTTTAGTAACATTTGAAATAGAACTATGTTGTCAAAAAAAAAAAATCTATTCTCAAATACTAATTTACACTAAAACTAGATAATCATGTGGACAATAGTCTCAAAAAATCTGCCTGTTTTCTTTTACTTGTAGCTACTGAGTATTGTGTATTTTCCTCAATATTGAAATAGAGTGACATTTTTTTTACGTAATACCACTACAGTCAAATATTACTGTTATATACTGTATATGAGACCGCATGCTGATCCATACAGTGGGTTTTATTCAAAGCATAATTTCTGGTTCACCATGCTTCACAGCCAAGAGTGGGGTTGAGAACACAGCCATAAAAGAGTAATGGGGATTCCTGGGGAGCTGCGGCATCCGTGGCCTTCACTGCCCAGCGGTATTTGCACAATCTTGGCTTTATCTGTTTGTCAGTAAACGCGCCACTTCAAACGGATACTCAAAGGTTTTATTTTTACTGCGAAAGTGGGTCCACGTTTTATTCGAAAGATCAAGACATCAGGCCAAATAATATGTCACAATCTGGATATTCAGTGCTAGCATTTACCGCAAAGAACACATCATAAAGTATTAATAGATAAATGTGTGCGAGAGCAGCAGGAGAGGGCTCTTTGAATAAGGTTCCTGTGTTTGGTGAGGTCAGAAAAGGGTCCATAACTTCACTATCCTACACATAATGAGGGCGGAGAGATGCCATTATGATGTTGTGTGAAATTGCCATTATTCAGTGAAGCGATTATCTGTTCGGTGAGTGTGAATAATACACATGGGGCTGGCTGCATGTTCACAGCTGTACAGAGCACAAGAGGGGAGAGTGGGTCTGTTTTTGTGGGTCTGAGTTTGTCTTTCCTGGTCTTCTTTTAGGCACATTATCACACATGCATACATTTCAAAATCTGATAACCTTAATAAATTGATAACCCAATAATGAGATCTGATTTGTGTGTGTGTCGGGTACAAAAGGAATCTGATCATCAAAAAGACTTGTGATATGTTTTACTTAATTAGTGGATTTTTTGAGTAATCCTTGTATTTGGAATACAAAGTACAATTCATTTTAAAATAAGTCTTTATCATTTTCTATTTTGCCCCATGCTTCTCTCCATGAAGATGTTACCTCGAATGTTCCACAGTATGTCATTACACTTACCATATTTCAGACTACCAGACTACAAGTCGCTCAGGAGTATAAGTCGCAACAGCCAAAAGATGCGTAAGAAAAGCACATATATAAGTCGCACTGTTTGGCGGGTGCGACATACTACAGAGCAACTTATAGTCCGGAAAATGTAAATGTGTAATGCCATACTGTGGAACATTTGAGGTATCATCTTCATGAAGAGAAGCAATAGAATAGAGAACAACAGGCTGTTAATGTAACATATGAACAGTTATTCAGTTAACTATAGCATAAACAACAACATAACAAATTTACCAAACTCTCCATCTCTCTCCAGTTCACTAAATCCATTGAATTCTTCATCCTCTGTGTCACTTCTGAACAACTCCATGACCTCCAAAGGTAAATGGAGCATCACTTCCTCTTCTTCGTACCTGTTGTCAGACAGACACATTCCAGACAGATTCCAGCCTTTCTAGATCCCAAGAAGATGGTTTCAGTTGTCACTGAAGTCACTAAATTTTTAATTTTCAGTGGTACAGAATTAATGGTGTCAGATCGGTGTAGAAGTGAGCCCACTAACAATAAGAATGGAAGTTTCTAGATAAATCAAAGCCCATGTTATTGAGTAAAAGCAAGATTGATATATTTGATGCCATAACAGGACATTCCAGACAAATTCATATGATCTCCATGGCGACAAGTAGGTGGCAGACCCTCCACTAGAAAAGTTACATAGTGGATCTTTAACATGGCCTTTCAGTAATTGGTTCCAGAAAGCAGTTAATGAGATGAGATTTTTGTTATGCATGTATGTGAGAGCGCGCCACTTTATTCCAAAATCTTTGTCACGTTAGTCATTTAGTCATGCTATGAAACACACAGTAGTAAAATAATCATTTGTTGATGCTACAGTTGCTGTGTGGGTTTTGAAAACTGAATAGAAGTTGGTAAAAATCATCACCATCTGTTCTCGAATCAGAAAACATTAAGCATACATTCATGCTGTTAGTGTTTTACTTTCAAAACAATTGAGGAGAGGAAATTTGAGTGTGCTTTTTTAAACAACACAAAATCCATAATAAAAACAGTTTGAACCTTGTATTATAAAGACATTACAGACTTTAAAAAAAACAAATTGAAGTTTAAAAAAAAAGTTAAACGAAATTGGATTGGAGAGAGAATTTCAAGGTGTTTTTTTTTTTGTAGTAAACTTTTTCAATTATTACAAATTATTCAGGTATGATAAAATATGTTTAAACATTGGATTTGAAAAGACATTACTGGACGAAACAAAAAGTTAAAACTGTGGCAGAACTGTAAAAGCATGTTCCAAAATGATACTGAATATGTCCAACAAATAGCAAGTAAATAAATAAATAAACACTTTTCTATGATGTTGCATTTACCATTTATGTCATAATCTTGCACTGTATCGTCATAGTATTCTTAAACACTATACTACACTAATATTAGTAGTATCTTTCGTGTGTATTTGTCTTAGAACAGTTACAAGTCTCTCTGCTGAGCTCCCTGTGTCTCCCTAATGCTGATGTAATGCGCAGTAACATGATAAGAGCAGGCTGGATGGCGGGTGGTCGTGAATGGGTGGTTGACTAATTAGATTTGTGAGTGACTTTGATTATTTCCCGCTCGTGTACGCTCTTGTCATCAGATGTTTACTTGTCTTGGCCTTTTATTCTCCCATGCCCTTCACAATGCAGACCTTTAAGAGCCAGGATGTTGCGCTAATTGCTTTACCATCTGTGTGTCTCCTCCACAGATCACACGAGTCATATTCTGCGTCTTTCTGGAGACAGACTTCAACATCTACAAGAAGAAAATGGCGGTTGTTTTTCAAGGTAAGTCTGTAGTATTCATATGATGTGTTTATGCTTTAAGTTGTCTCTGATGCAAAATAAACAGTTCTTCTTTTCATCTAATGTCACCCAAACAATTATGACAAGACTATGAGCTTGGACTGTCTTTACCAGAGTCACAATGTCACAACAGTATTGAATAGTACTGAGTTTGCACCATGAACCCTGTGGTTGGTGGGTGAATACTTATCGCACTGTGCCACAGCCTGCTGCGTCCTTATTCTTTACTATGAACCAGAAAATTGGTCCACAGATGCAAATGAGCTTGTTGCCTCATGCAGTTACATGCTGTGCTATTCAAACACATGCTTATAATTAGCACTGTCCTCAGCTATAAGCCCCACTGTGTAACATTTCTGGGGACTGCCAAGCCACCTGCTTGTCTCCTTGGAGATAGGTAAGCCATACTCTGGAACATTCCAGGAACTGACACCAGGTGACTCTGTTGTGTTGTGGAGCAAGCTGCACTCACAGTAAAGATACACGTTGTATGTGTATTATGTGGCCATACCAGCTTGTCAAAGCCTGATCAGATCTCAGAAGCTAAGCAAGACTGGGCCTGGTTAGTACTTGGATGGGAGACCACAGGAAAATCAAATGCCACAGGGGGCATCAGTGTCCTTAGGCGTGTCCTTAGGCAAGGCACATCACTCACATTGCTTAGTATGAAAGTGGTGTGTGTGAGCGATGGTGGTGGTTAGAGGGGCCAATGGTGCAGATTGTCAGCCTTGCTTCCGTCAGTCTGCCTCACAGCAGCTGTGGCTACAATAGTAGCTTACCATCACTGGGTATGGAGTGAATAATGATTTGTAAAGCGTCTTTGAGAGTCCAGAAAAGCTCCATAATGGCCATAATGAAATTTTACATTATAAAGAATGAATTTGTCACCTGAATTAAATGTGTTTTATTTTTTTATTAGTATAAGTGAACACACACTGTCTCCTCATTGTTGTAAGAGGTTGTTGACATCTATTAATGCAAGGAAAGTCTGTCTGTGTTTCTTTGTTTTTTGTTTGTTTGTCTGTCCCACGCATAACTCTTGAAGTACTCATTCAACTGATCTCACATTTGGAGAGTGTCATCCTGATGGTGTGGGTGTGCCGTGCCAAGTTTCATGTTGGCAAAAAATGACAAAGATCTGGTCATTCTAACTTGTAAAAACTCACAATATTCCATAATTTTGCATAATATCAGACCTTTAACTGTCAGATTGGAGATTTGTTGACCTGGTTTATGGTTAATATCTCTGTAATTACTGCACCTATCCACATGAAGCAAACATTAACATCTTCTCTGTGAGTATAAATAAGCAGAAATAGTCTTAAGAAAGTGGTGCTATTTTTCAACACCAAAGTAAGCTATTAAAACACCATAGGAAATTGATTTTGTATTTAGTTCTTCAAGTTTAACGTGATACATGGAACATTTTTACTACTGCAATAATATCTTCATGAAGACAAGCAGGTGACACACTCAAATCCATCATTAAAACATGATGAAAAGCCCAAGAAGTCCTTTCCGAATACTTTACTAATGAGAAATACTGAAGCTAAATGAAGCTTTAGAGATGAATGGTCTATTCTGTACAGCTCTTTTTGTTGCTCTATATTTATTGTAACCTGTTTTAACCTGTATAGGACACAGGAGCTCATATATGCACATCTGCAGCTGGAGATAGCCTGCCCCTAAAGCACCTGAATAAAAAGCTGTCAGGGTTGGGTGGCACCTAGAAATGTTAAGAATGTGAATACATCCGACGGCCATTTGGGAGATTAGCATTTATTCCACAGTGAATCTCTACAGATGCTTTTAATAGGATTAGGACTTGTCAGTGAAGCAGCAAGCTGATATTTAACATAATTGATAATATTCTGATGTGCGATTTGATTGACTGTAATAATGGCTCCTTAACTGTGAACAACAAAACTCCAGGCATGCATAGCAACCGCTCATTCTCCGCTCCGATTCAGTATGCGAAATAAACAAACATCCATTATCTTTCTACTCCCACTTTGCCTCGCTGTCTCTCTCTTTCTCAGGCACATTCAATTCCCTGCCCTATTCCGTGCCATCATCTTTTTTTTTCGGGGTCCGGGCTGTGATGGGGGCTCCACGGAGGATTGCGTTGAATAGCTGGGGATGCTGAAAGAGGCGCCTTGGCTTTCGACAGACTAGCATTACCTCCCATTTTTCCCGTCTCCCCGCCCGGCCTCCCCAATGGAATATGTGGCTCTTAGGCCCTCATCTGCAGCGCTCCCAGATGGAGAGTGTTTTGTTCCCCGTGCTGCTCCGTCCTAGTCATCTGGCTCTACCCTGAAAGATTACATTCTGCGGAGAGAGAGAGGGAGCGTAATTATATTGGCTGCCCCCGTGCACCCAGAGCCTGTCTCATCATATTAGCGCCCTGAGATGAGAATTCAGGGTTGTTGTTCTCCAGTTATCACTCGGAGCATTTACAAGTGCTGTCTGCTGCTGGATAAATGCGGAGTGTATAGTCCACTGCTTTGATAGAAACTGCGACGCACCCAAACAACAGATATATGGGCTTGTCAATCTTGCAGATCATAAAGTTTGCCAATTATTTCTTCAGACTTGTATTGTCCTTGGTTTAGATAAAAAAGTTTTGCACAAATTTTAGTGAGTTCAGAGGGAAATGGACACTCATAGAAGAGCAAGCAGATGAGATAATATCACTAATATTGTTTACAACATGAGCAATACTAGATTACTGAGTATATTGTATACAAAACTACCTCAAAAAGAGACAGGGGTCACTTTATCGCTCCCAACTGTGATGGGGGGCCGGGGTCAGGTCGGAACTTACAACAGAATTGTATGACCATGACGACGCAGATTATATTCTTTGAAAACCACCACACTTTCTTTACATATCAGACAAACTACACGGATACTTACACTGAACAAAAAAATAATTAGTCATCCACTGTTCTTTGAAAACTCGGCACTGCACATGCGTTGATGGTCACTTTTAGATCTCAAACTTTTCAGGTAACAATTCAGGAACAAATGTAAATATGTCATATAATTATTTAAATATAAATATAAATACTTAATAAAAATATCATTTTTAAATGAAAAAATCAGCAAAATACAAGATGCAGATGTGTTATTATTTGCCAAAAAGTACTTAAAAAAAGTAGGCCATGACAACTTTTCAGGATTGCTTTATAAGGCCAGTTCAAGTGTTGGGAGCCAAAGGGGCGTGGCAAGACGGAGTCTTAGTTTGAAGACCCCTGATCTACTGTAATCTGCTCATTAAGGCTTTAAACTGATATATCTGCATTTTTGTGTTTCATTGTGTTCAGAGTTTATTTGTGTTAGACTTGTTAGAACCTCAACTAATACATTTTCGCATGTTCCTTATGCACTGTTTAAATATAATCTGAATATTATTACAAAACAAAGCATAAACAAATCCAGATATTACATTTTTATTCAATTCCATTCTCATTTAGAATTACTTTAGTTTATGATATAAATCTAACAACTAAGAATGATAGTAACATCTATGGTATTTTCCATAGTGGAACATTTGGGAAGTACACTGACACTGTTCTAGGATTTAGAAAAGTCCAAAGTTTTTGGGGCACAACTCCTAGAGAAATAGTGGTGGAAGTAAGTATTCCTGATGAGATTCTGAATTTTAAGACCACATATTCAAATGAGATATGGTTTATTTTGCATCGGAGTCCAATCTTTTGTACATTTCATTATATTTTAGTAATGTGGAAATTAATGTGGAAAGTGGGAAATACTAACAATAGGCAAATAGACAATTCTAACATTTCTCTCTAGTACTTTTCACGAAACCACTGGAAAAATAGGAGAGGAAATTAGAAGCAAAACTCAAAGCTGACATTAAATAATACAAAAAGGTGAATAAATAACATTCAATGAGAGAGCTATTTTATAATGTGAACTTTTTCCATGACTTGAGTAGTGGGCCATTAACCAGTGTTATTCATGAATTGTTAATGAGCTCATTCTTTTGATTAAATGCAAGGTCGTTCTAGCAGACTAACAACGCAGACACGGCGATGCCAGGCAAATAGCTTTTCCTCATCTCAGTCATGTGACCTTTGACCCCGGGGTCACGGCCAGCCTCATCGCCGCTTTGTGTGCACATGTGGGAGGTCGCCAATATTAATCCCATTATGGACAGAGTGGCGGGATAAGTGTAACATTCACTTTCAGGGTCGCTTTGAAGAGGAGCCGAGTTTTACCACAGCTGACCCCCCTGTCCTCAGAGCTTTTACTGTTATAGTACTTTAGCGTGGATTCTGGGAAGGTCTGGTCGAACTTAATTTAGGGTAATTTTGTATAACGTGATTTTCAAGTTAAGATTGAGGTCATACATTTTTAAAACATGTCAGCTATTAATGTTATGGCCTTGTGAAAAGCACAAGAAGTTATCTCATAAAATTTCTTATGCTTCTAGGAAAATACCACTGCTTTGAGACAGATAGCAGAAAAAAACATGCTCACTGAGTATATTTTAATGCAACAAGGTGTTTGTTAATAATGCTAATGATAAAGTGTTACTGTTACACATCTGTGGCTTGTGTAAAATGAAAAAGAAAGACTGACCTTGTCTCCATGGTGTTATTGTTGGTGATATTGCGTTGTTTTAGCCTGATTCATCAGACGGTTTTACTTCATGGAAACCATCTGACCTCGCAGCATTAGGATTTCTTCCCTCGACTGGTACTTTTTTTATTGAACCATTCGCTGCTATTTGGTTGTGACGTATGTAATGCGCCGCAACGCTCAGTGATATCCAAGTAATTGCCGGCACAACAACAAAGAGTGAACATGTCTGTCAATGATCATTGTCGTTTCTGTAAAGTGAACTTGCTCATTAAAGGTGCAATAAAAATGTGAAGTTTGTATTTGACAAAGGAAGTCCAAAGGAGGATAAAGTATGTAGTCTGCTATCGCAACTCAGGTTGGTTCAGCTCTCC